TTTTAATTTTATTTAAAAAATTATAAATACTTTTCAAAATTCCAGGCAAATTTGCCTGGAATACGGTTTAAGGGATAGCATATTGTTCAATCAATACTATATAATATTTGAAATCTCAACTCTTTCAACATCTTTATTTTATCCAATATCGATATGTATTATACAAAAATTTATGCCAAAAACTGTTCTTGCTAATCAATAGATCTTCATTAAAAAAGGGTTGAACATAAGTTGAACTTTCTTAATAAACATATAAACAGCTTTGAATTTAAATGATCTATAAATAAATACATTTTTTTACTTTAAGTTTGTTTTGTGAATATTTTTATTAAACAATTAGCTTCGGTGACTTATAGTATAATGAATTTGCTTATAGAATATATATCTATCATAAATTCTCGAAATAGCAGAATAGGCATTATTTCAAGAATTTACAAAAAAAATACAATACAAGTTGAAATAAGAGGTCAAGATTTTATTAATACTTGCTGATAATATCTTAATAAAGCTGCTATTTGTAAAGCTTGTGTAAATGTATTAGAAAGAGATGTCACTCTTGAACAATCTGTATTTACTAATACAAAAACTTGTGTTAAAGCAGATTTAAAAAAGTGTTGTCACTTTATTAGACAATATGCAAAAGAAGAAAGAAATGAAATTCTTTATGAGTCTGATGATAATCAAGAAACAAGTTCAACAAGTTCAACCAAAAGTATACAACATACAAAATCTCATGTATCAAGAAGTTTAATTAATAATCATCTTATCCAGGATTTAACTTCAACTGAATATTTTGTCTTTAAATGTCATATTTTAAAATCAACAATTAGTAATAGATAGTTATTTAATTGGGTTGAAAATTATGAAATTGTTGCACTTTTTAAGTTTTTACATCCAACTTTATCCTTATCTAGATGTTGTACACTTTTTAGTTACATACTTTCTTTATTTAGTAAAGAGTTATAGCAACAACATGCCATTGAAGCTAAAAAGCAAAAAATTGGTAATATATTAGCATTCAATAGATGAAAGAATGTTAATCATCAAGAAATTTTAGAAAGTACTTTAATTACAAATACAGGAAAAGTTCTTGTATGAGGTGCAAATAATATTTCAATTGAAGGTACAGTCAAACCTCTATAAGTATACTGCGTACAGACCAGCTTCAATTGTGTATTTAGAGAGGTTTGCATTTAGAGAAAGCCAATCAAATTGCAGCTTTTAATGTT